ACATGCTGTGTCTCTTAAGCTGTTTCTCCAGCTCAGTGATGTGTGGAAATTTACCACTTTTGTCACGCCTGCATCAGAACAGACCCGACCGTGGCCAGACTCCCCTGAACCACTACGCCTCCAGAGATCGTCCTCCCCTGAATACTCAACACCATACCGAGCGCTTCCCATGTTTCATCAACCTCTGCGTTTTTGACTTTCTGAACCCCTGATTCTTGATTTGTGTTTTCTTAGATTTGATTGCCTCGCTGATTGCCTTCTCGTTATTGACCTTCTGCCTATACCTGCATTTTTTCGCTCTTGGATTCCCCCTTCGGCTTGTTTCACTTCTCTGCATCTCTGATTTTGACCCTGCCTGTTTGCAGCTACGATTTCAGCCTCCAAATTAAACATCAATTCACCCTGCAATCGGTTCCCTTCAGTCTGTTCAATACAACTTTTCACTATTAATTCAGCTGTTGCTAAAAGCAGCTAATTGGCTAGCAGCATGCTAAATGACAAACACGTCTGAAATCAATTAAGTGAAATGTTTATTTTACAAACTCAGACGGATTTGTATATTTTTCCTAATTTTATCACTTGGTACTGCAGGAGCAAATCAGATTACCATGCAAGATGGAAAGAGCACACAGTGCACACACACATAGTCAGAATTGAATTGCCAACCCTGGAGGTGTGAAGCCATAGTCCTACTTGCCAAGCCACCATTGAAGCCTCCAGCACCATTATTACAGCGCTGTCTGGCACCAGCTGCTCACATCGTGCTGACATGTTTTAATTCTCTTATTCTTTCCTTTTATTTTCTTAATGACATTAGCATGCATAACCAGATTCAGTTTAATAAGTGATGGGATCTATCAGCAGAAGGCATCTTGCAGCTCAATATGTAGAAGGGAAAACTCTGCAGCAAGGTGATGATTATGACATTGCCCCACACCACTGAGATCCACTGAGAGATTAGATTGATTCATTATTGAAGCACATAACCAGATTACAGTACACCTAACTCAACTAGCCAATCTGTAGGACATTCACATTCTTACAGTGTATATTTATTGACATACGCAAGATCATTTATAATTGGCAGTCATTGGTATGACTGAGATGCCTTTGAGGATGACTTTGATAACTCACAGTTTGAATGCAGTGGTAGAGAAGCACCAGGGGTTCAGACCACTGACACTTAGGTAATAGGAGTCTCACACCGAGGAGGAGTCTCTCCCATCGCTCGTTGTTATTGGCATGATTCAGTCATAAACCTGTCATACGGTGTGCAACACCTCCCTCTCACCTCCATCCCAAACCTGTGCCTTTTGTAAAGAAGAAAATGACCAGTAAGACTGAAGGAATCTCGGTAGTTTCCAAGTGCTCAAAACTGGAATCGCTCAACTTCGTGGGGACCCCGTGAGCATGAGGGCTCTGAACATTCCAGCCACGTAGCAGCACTTAAAATGCAGGTGCTACTCATAAACCAATGTGAATTTGACTATCATTCTCAATAAAGGGGCCTCTTCTGAGTATTTCTCATGATCGTAAAAGTGTAATCACATTGAGGACAGGAACACAGCCCCCCGAGTCTGGCTCTGTGCAGCTCATCCTTCCATTGCCTGTGATCTCCCGGCCAGTTATGGCAGCCCTAATGGAGAGTAATGGCACGGCTTATTTGACACACATGCTGTCCGCCTGGCACTCGGCCACCTCTTCAATTAAAGTTGTCCTCCTTCAGCCGAGCTATGTATGGCTCATCTTACCGACATAACCAAATTACCCACACTTGAACGTATCACCCAGAAAGAACATAAAATTGTTTGGTACGCTGTTATCGGCAGGAACTCACACTGCTAAAACATCCGAACAACATATTTGTCATTTTGTAATTAAATTACACAGATGAGTTTTTATTGTTTTGGTTTCTCAGATCAAGTGAGATGTAAGTGCGGCACTCCGCCAGGAGTTCAAATCCACGACCCTCAGGCAAGTTCTGTAACTACCATAACACAAGAGTCTTCCATCCAATTAGGTTCACTTCTACCACTCTTGCCGCAACCTCACTTCCCCTCTGGCATATGTGGCACATTGGGAAATACAGCTAGATATCAGCTTCTTGTGGCTGATGGTCCCTTGCACTTGTCAGATGGAGGAAATGGTTACTGTCCTCTACAGCCTTTGATTCCAGGTGTTATGGACTCCTAAAAGGGCAAAGGCTTTTACTGAGAAAGGGTGGACTGAGAGTGGACAGAAATGGGTTACAAGGGGAAGGCTGGAAGTATCGGTTAGGAAATAGCAGAACATGCTGAGAAAGGAAGCTTCACAGTGCATCTGTTATTGAGGCCTAGTGCGCAGAATTAAATTACATTTTTTTCTATTCAGGAGAACAAAAGTGAACCACAGTTGTGTGAGACAAAGTCTGTCACTTGCAATTCCCTGCTCTGCTCCTCTCAGAACTCATCTTTATTTAAAATTCTAATAACTGAGCATTGCACATATCTACATGCAACTAAATTGTGCAAAAGTGCTAGAACTTGCCATTTCTACAGTCACATTTCTTGAAGAGACTTACTGTAAAACCTAGTATTCTATAGTAGTGGACAGCCCCAATTAATAACATATGCTTATAAATGGGAACATTGTATTGTAGTTGTTCACTTTCATCATAAATATCTTTAACTGGGTGCTTGCCTATAGTAACTACTATAGTAGTAGACTATCATAATAATAATTTTACTTGGTGTTTCGCTGCTGCAATCACCATCTATTTTATTTTATTTTTCTCTTATTCTGTACTTATCTACTTATCCATCCATTTTCCATAACCGTTTATCCACTGCAGGAGAAAAAAAAAACATGTGCATCGCATGGAATCCCTGGGTGGGATGCCAGTCAATCACTGGTCACTTGTTCACGCATAATGGGCAATTTAGAAAACAATTTCCCCAACTGCATAGTACAGGAGGAAACTGGAGTTTCAACACAACAGGTAACCGTGCAGCAAGTTTGGTTTTCGGGGAGTACCCTCAGAAAATTCAAGCTAGTGCAGCAAGTAGTTCCTTGTTGAGCAGTGTCTAGTTGATTAAATGTAGTATAAAACAAGGTGGACCTCCATCCTGGTCTGACTGAAAGACAACTTGATGCAATTAAGGCTCTGGGGGATCCACAGGTCTTTGTTAAACCAGTAGTCTGACAAAATGGAGGCGTTCAATTCTCGACGAACTGTGATTACACTTATAGATCCCCTAAGTGCTGCAGTCACACCAACGCTCATCTCCCAGCCCTGGTGGATTCATGACAGCGTCAATGTCTAGGACGAGCATGCTTGTGTGAACATCTCCACAGCCACCCCCCTCCTGTTGGGCACAGAGGACAGCATGATGTAGTGATGAACGATAAGGCTGGTGCTCGTGAAGCTCACGGTAGGCAGTGAGTCGACCATAAGGCATCTCAGAATCGCAGAGAGGCCTTGATCATTACTCAAAAATGTAATTATACCTGAGCCATGCTGTTCAAAGATAGACATGGGGGTCATCAGACAGGAAAACACAGGGAGTGCCAAGCTGAGCCGGGCTGTAGGGCCTGTAGGCAAATGTTCGACTTTCGCCAACTGGACACTTCAAGAGTCACGAGTAGCTAAACTGCTAATGTCATTCACAATGACATTAAATGACAATACTCCACATTGTCATCCTCGGTGGATTACATGTTGAAGTCAGTTTTCACGGAATCAGCGCAAGCCGCCACTCCCTTCTGGCAGATTCCCGCTAAAGAGAAGGGACTGCAAGCAGCTCTTTCTCACAGATGGAGCTCAGAACCTTGGGAGCATGTGGGAAAGAGAATGGAGGACCATCTTGTTATTGAACATCTCATTTGATGCACAGAAGGTCATACAGACCAGGAGGTAACTTCCAAACAAACCAGAGGTATAGGGAAAGGATGAGGCAACCCATTGACATCAACACCATCACGCAGGAGCTCGGGGATGGACAGCACAAAGTAAACCAATTAACGCAGTTTCCCAGGATAGGGCTCTTCATGTAGCCCAGGAACTTTCACTGTCAATAGTGTTCGTGTTTCACATGTGCAATGGAAGCTTAGCACTGCTGCTTATTCCAACCCACCGGCACCAACCCCCTCCACAGAACATCCACTCATCCTGCAAACTCCATTAACACCCTTAAGCTAGCTGGTTGGAGAACTGTGAAAGGGTCCATGACAGTCCATCCATGGTGACAACATAGCACGTACGTAGGTGGGTTATCACTGTCTGATTACATGAAGACTGCTAACGAGGATTCTTAATGAGACTCCCTATTAACACCAAATGTTGTGCCTGTGATCTGCACACACGCCGAACAACCAATATAGAGCCCTGTACATCAGGCACGGGTATCTCAGGCCGCAGTTCAGCCTGATGGCGATGAAATTAATCATCACTGTGGAGAAAATATGTTTCTGATGTCATTAACATAAGGCCCAGAGAAGCTGAATGAGCCAGAGAAGCAGTGTAACAGTTGTGAGGGTCTCTTGTAATGTTTCATTTTTTTTCTGCAGATGCCTGACAGTTGGAAGAGACAGATTACAAAATCCTGACTTTAATCTTCACTGCAGAAAATGGCTGCTTAGTGCCGACTGCCGCAAACAGCAGCCTTTGCAATTTTTGCGCGGCCATGACTGAAAAATGGATCCCATTTAGTTGCTTAACCAATCTTTTTACCTAAAGCCAGCTACAATTTTACCCATGTTAATCCATCTAAGGGCACAAACTAGGAGCAATTTAGCGACACCATGTAGCCACACATGCGTTTGGAGTGCAGGAGGAAACAGTACAGTACCCTGAAGAAAGCTACGCAACATAAGGAGACCATGTAGATTCTACAGACACAGCTGAGGAGGAACTCAAACCTCAAACTCGTGAGGCAGGAGGCATTAGCACTACCAGAGAGCTACTGTACCAGCCTTAAAATTATATTTTTTAACAGTGATTGATACAAAAAGGTTTGTGTTTTAAAAACCACGCAAATATCAGTTGACTCAGTGCAACACTCAGTCGATGCATCAATTGGACAGAGAAAGTCTTTCTTCCAACATCTCATCCTAAAAAAAATAATTTAATACACTATGAGGGACATATCAGATATTAAATTGATAAAAACATATCCCACACTTAATCTTTGCCAAAAGGCAGAAAAGCAATTACATCTTATGGGAGAGACGTTTCTTTTCTCTGTATATAAACAGCCAGATTGTTTCTGAAACAGATACTGTAACACAAAAGTTCACACTTTACAAAAGTGTCTTCAACACACAGTGTCATTTGGTTTATTTTGTTATTCCATAAAGTAAATCTTTATTATGTGTGTTTCTGTGAAGACGACCGACAAAGATAATTGCTGAAGCAAGTCTACAGCATTCACTGGCCCCTTTGTCCAAATAACTGTGATCGGGAAATGCCCTTTAGAAACTGATTATACAAGCCCTACATTTCTTGTCCTTGGGGCTCTTCAATAATGCAACAACGGTGGCCTCAACAGAGGTTGTGTGAATAGGTAACGGCCTGGATGTAAGATGTGCA